CTGTTCTATGGATTTCTTTCTTAAAGCCAGAAGATTAAAGAGTCATTTTTCCTTCATTTTGGTCTAGCACAGTATGTTTTCATTAGGGTGACACTTAAAGCACTCCTTTTGTCTCCAGTCATTGCCACTGGATTGCTAGCAAACATTTTATGCATTTCATTTTTTAGAGCAGTTTTTAAAAGCTAATTTTTTCCCCCGACTAAGTGCGGTCAGTTACCACTGTGATTTTCACATTTGAAATCAGGTTGTACATTTCAAAGCAGCCGTGTTGAATATCAATGAACTCGGAGAAAATATTTATAACGGCAAAACAAGGACAAATTTGGGGGAAAAAAAGGAAAAAATGAGAAAACAACACAAGCAGCTTAAATCAACAATTTTATGAGCTGCAAAATGACCTCGGACTTAAAGGCTCACAAACACCAGAGTATTCCCGGACACTGCAGCTCCCGGCTCCAAAGCTGCTGTTCCGAGCTCCTTCCTGCGAACCCCGATGGAAAGGGGACATCTGCTGGCAGCAAAAGATATTCTCCCAAAGACACAGCTAACATTGAATCGGCACAATTACAGCAGTACCTTAGTAATGTTTACAGAAGGGAAGGCATTTCATTTAAACTCAACTTTATATTATCAGCAAGTACACAGAAAGCCACAAAAATTAGCTATTAACAAACTCCAAAAACATGTATTTAAAACTATCTAATACAAAAACATGTATTTAAAACTATTAATACAAAAACATGTATTTAAAACATCTTTTAAAACTATTATAATAACATTGCAATAAAAGAAATTGCAATTAGCAAGAGTAAATTAACATGCTGTCATCTTTATTTGAAGATTTGCATTTCAGCTAAATAACATAGTAGCCCTCACCTATTCCTTTTCAAAAGATTTATAACAAGTAGATATAAAAAGGCAAAATTTTAAATTGACTACAGGCAAACCTTGGCACATCAGGAATTTTCTGTTTCAGAATATTTTAAGTTTTCTTAGATGCAATCAGCTTTTAGGAGACACTTCTAGCAATAGACTCAAAACATATTATAACAGATTTTCAAAACATATTATAACAGATTATAACAGATTTATAACAGTTCTATGTAAGACAGGACCCAGGAGGTTGAACTGCCAGCCTTCACCAGCAGTTCATTTTAACTGACTGAAATAGAACAAATACTATTTCAGAAATGAAGGTGCTGAAAAGCCTTTATTCTTTAAAAAAAACTTAGGAATTGAATTTCACTAATAAAATATTTGTTGAAAATAGTTCAAATAAACAAACAAAACTTTTAAGCCTGTCTTGGGCAAGCCTGCTCTGCAAATGAGGAAATCCCAAGGAGAAATGCCTGCTCTGGATGCACAGCTGCAACTATTGAAACAGAGAACATTTCAAACTCTTCACTCTCACCTCCAACAAGTATAATAAGAATAAACTGTCTTCTCTCTAAGCTGGGCAGGAACATCCCATGGCATAGGCCAAGACAGAAATCATCTCCAGGTAAAATTGTCAGTCTCAAGAGAGTGGGAGCAGAAATGACTAATGAATCATCTCCAAACCAGCACTGTCAGTATTGTGAAATCAGGAGAAGAAATACAACCAGTGGCGATTCTGTTGTGCAGTTACACAACATGGCAACACAAATGCAGGTGAAGGATTTTGTGATTGCAAGCACAGAAAAAGCTTCTTTTTGAGAATCCAGTTTTGTGGCTGAGTGTGAGGACCCTTTCTTTAACAACAGTAAAAGTCAAATCAGAGTTCTTTCCCAAACTTCACTACTTCTTAAAACTTAAAACTTTTTTTTTATTTTTCTATTAAGCTACATGCATTTAAAGACAGGGATTCCTCTGATAAAGCTTTGCAGCACAGCATAGTCTAAAACTTCAATCACAAAGAGTAAACGAATTTATCAAAGAACACAAAACACTTCGGCCTTACCCCAAGCTCCCAGCGTTCATCAGTGATGGAAGTCATCATCCAAACATATGTGATGCAAGTATTTATCTTCCATTTGGGAAGGAGAGCTCTTGGAATTGAAGCCAGCCCATCAGCTCCAAAGCGTCTGCAGCAAAATTCCAGGTGAGCAGCTCCCGAGGGACGCTGTGGTGGCCGCAGCAGCAGCAGAGGTGAAGCTGAGGGCTCAGTGCAGCTCCACGGCCACGGGCTCTGCCTCACCTGAGGGCCCGGCGCAGCCCCGGGGCCGGGGCACAAGCCCTGCGGGCCGGAAAGCCTCAAAGGCCGGGTGCGAGCCCAGCCCAGCCCGGCCCCTCTGGCCCTGCAGCCGAACCCGGGAGAACCGGCCCGCTCGGGCTCGGCCGTCCCGGTTTTACCGAGCCAGAGGGCAGCGCAAGGGGCGGCTGGCGGAGCTCGGTACCGCTTGGCCCGGCTTACCCGGACCCCTCAGGGGATCAGCACCGGGCAGAGCGCGGTGCCCGCAGCGCCGACACCGCGGGTTCGATCCCCGCGTGGGCCGTTCACGGTACGGTTGGATTGGGTGGTCTCTGTGGGTCCTTCTCTGCTCGGAATGTCTTGAGAATCTGATGGATTCCTGCCCCAGCCTCCCCCCTATGCCAGCAGCACTTTGTATTTTAATGTTCCCCTTATTTTTTTGTCTTTTATTCTTTTTTATAGACAAGACCACAGTTTTCAATATGAGCAAGAAAGTCAAAGTTCACAGAAGAGCATCCTCAGGCCTGGTCTCTTGTCAGCCCCACCTGGAAGGCTCTGGGCTACCCAAAACTGCCACTCCCCTTGCAGTCATTTTACACCAGTAGCTGCTAAAAATAATACTCTGGTCCCATGTGTTCCACATGTTCGGTTTCACACACAAAACCACACAGCCTGGAACATCCCCAAGTTCACTTTCTAGAATGGCTTTCCACCATCTCATGCTAAACAGGGAATAAAACAGCAGTGGGTGATAGGTACAGATTTCACACATGGCAGAGCCTGTTTGCAGTTTGTGATGGGCATGGGGCTGATCCCCAAGCAGAACTGTGATCATTTCCAAGTAAGTCACAATGGTGTTAAAAGAGTAGGGAGAGTGTTTGCATCTAAATCACGACTGATATGGCTGAGGTTCTCCATTCCAGCCCTGCCTCACCTTGCCAAGGGAGCAGAAACCCGCAAGTTCCATTTGGGTTTTATAAGAGGAAAGATGAGAAGGTTTCAAGAGCCTGCAAAGCTGTCACCAGCTGGACTGTGGCAGACTGTAAGTGTGTGATAAATGGACTACACAGCTACCAAATTTTCCTCCAAGGCACAATGAGAAAGGGTAATTATCCTTTATACTGTTCAAATTACTTCAAAAGTAAGATTTTTGGTAGACTTCACCAAGATGAATATTGGAAATCAGTTAGTGTAAACACTCCCATTAAAAATAAAATTAAAAACCCTTCCCTCTAGTTCCACCTGATTGTGCTGAAACTTAATTTGGGAGATTTTGATGATGAAATGGTATGAGATATGTCTGACTAGAGAGAAACACACCTTCTTATCTTGATGTGATTGCCTCCCCCTTTTCAATTTTCAGTATAAAAAGGCAGACTGGCTGTATCTTGACTTAAATGTAGCATTTTGGGTTGCACAGATAAGTGAGTGACCCGTTAGGTCAATTAAATGCAAACACAAATGCAATTTCAAGTTCAATACTTTGTTTCCTCTGGCAACAGAAAGAGAACACTAAGCATGTAAACAGTTACATCATGGTGCCTAAAATGCGTTGCACTAGGAGAGAAGCAGGCATCATACAGATTTCTGGCTTACTAGAACATGCAAAAAGACAAAATGAAAAAAAAAAACCCACAAGACCAAAACCACAAAAAACCTACCACAATCCCCCAAAAAACAGAGATGTCACAAAGTAAAAATGCTCATCTAAATCTAGGAGAAAAGTGTGTAAGACTATTTATCAAAGCCTGATGCTCTGTGAAAATACATTAAAGCAAAGCATAAGTTATTTTCAAAAGGCAATGCACATTGTAAGCATCTCTTTTATTGTAATATAAAGAAGCATACATCATTCAGTTCTTTAAAGTACAACTCAAATTGTACACTAACAAAAAAAGATCAATTCAGACATCCATGAACATGTCAACAACAGAATTCATTACATTTTGCTCTGCTGGTATTGCACTTGGAATGATTTAGAAGTAAGGCACAGTAAAAACAAAGTCATTTAGTGCTTCTACAGCAGATGTCTTTTTTAAACACATGCTACATGACGTAAAAGTACTTCTAGCTTATGTATATACACATAAGGGAAAAAGAAAAAAGCATGCACTAGAGAATTCAGATTTCAACATATCTTGCTGTTTCATAATATACAAATAAAGTAGTTTAAAGATGTAAACAAATTGCATGCACATAAACTAGAGCAAAATCTTTAATACAGTATCTGAAAGCTATTATGCTTAAATAAAAAAATATAACTTATTAGTACTCAGGTTTATGTGCCATTTTTGGTCCTGTAGAGATTAAGAATATGGGGTTAGGGGCAGGATGGGAAGAGTGGATTCTTCTGGTTTTGCTGTTGGTTTTATTTTTTTGCTTTACACATTGCAGCAGTACACTGGTAAGGTCAAATATGGCTTTTGCAAAACGATGTCTAATGAAAACATGAAAAAGCACAATTGGTTCAGGATCCAGCATCCTGATATTTTCCAGGCAAGAACAAAACAAAACAAAAATCAATATGATCTACGCTTTGAACTGGGTAAGACATGCATTCCAAAAGACCTTTCTAAAGACATTTGAACTCTACAATAATGAGACACTTTGTCAAGTGTAAACTCTTAAAAACTAAACACAGAAGGATCTGAATGACTCAAGCATCGTTTTCCACTTCAAATGCTACTGAGTAAGTTTCGCCCCTGGCCCCGGTAGCTGAAGTGATACTGGACTGTCTTCAGAATTAACTGCATGCCAGGAGCAGCTTTGCTTCTTTTTACACAGGTACATTAGAAATTAAGTAAATTAACTGCACAATTTTTGGCTTCACTTTATCTTTGGCATGGGAGACGCCATTTTTCAAATTAAAAAGGAACATGCACCATGCTGCATTCCAACAGGTTATACTGAAAAGGCACATTTGTTGCTGCCTGGGTGGCAAGGGAAGACTTATTTTGCAGAGGGCAGGGTGTTGAGTGCATCATCCTCTCCTCATCCTCCAGAGTGTTCAGTTAGACCAGGTACAGTTGCACACAGCGGCTGCCCAGGAGCTGTCCATTTCTCTCAGCCACTGCTTGCTTAGCTAGATCCAGGCTTGGAAAAGTCACCAATGCCTCGCCACTGGGCTGCCCACTAAAGTTGTAAAGCATGAGGATGGAATCTGCTTGGAGCTGCAATGGTACAAGAAGAAAACATAAAAAAAACCTATTAAGACCAGCAACAACACCTGGAAATGTAGTTTTTAATGCTGGTGCATTTTTTAGTGCTTCTGGCTCACCCCACTCCTGTGTCCATGGTGAAAACATTCTGGAAGTTAAGAATGGGAAGGAGAAGGAATCAAAGATCAAAAGAAATTTTAGCTTGGCAAGCAGCAGCAGCTCTTACTCTGCATATAGTGATGTAGACATAATTCTGTGCAAAAATTTTTCTAGAGAAGCAATTAAAGAGATTAAAGGAGAGAGTTAGATGTTAATAGGAGGTAAATGGAGCAAGAAATCCAGGCACTAATAATTCTTGTACTATGGGGACTACTGGCCAAGTGACAAAGGCATGTCAATACTCACACACAAAGTTAAAAAACACAACACACATGCCAAAAATAAAAGAGCTGTATGAGTTCTGTGTTGGGAGAATGAGCTGAACTCAACACAGGTGTACAGCACAAGGAAGATTTTCCAGAACAATTAAGTAAAATTTGGCGCAAAACTGAATTAAATAAATATTTATGGTAATTTTAACAAGACTAAGGAAAAGCAGGTTAGCAGACAAGATTATTTAGTCATTGGACTTGATCTACTTTTGAGGGCATTTGCCCTCATAAAGTCTTAAAAGACAGTTCCAAATTGCTGAGTTCAAAGCAGACATTACAGTCAGTCCTATTGTACCCCATCCATTTTCCATAAGATGCAGGAAATTCTTCCAAGCTAAGTTTGAACTCCTGGTTGCTGGACAGAAATGAATCTCAGTGAAGTTTCACAATGAGAGACTGAAGGATCAAAAGCTCAGCATACAAAGTTAGTTTTTTTGGAAAACAGTGTCAGACAAAGCAATGCTGGAAAACCAACCAGTTTTATGAATATTAATTCAAGTTATATTCATGTGACATATGTTCTCTTGAGTTTATAAAAGATTAAAATATTTAAGTGTTTCATTTCTGTAGAACTTGTGTGTGTCTGGTATACTACAAGAGGCAGCAGGCTTCTCAGTTATTACCAGTAGCATTTCATTCACGTATCGTACCATATATCAGCTTTACATTCAAACATATGAAAATAAATCAAGTGCATGCTAGAGCTTCACTCACTCAAACACTGAGCAGGCAGTAAAAATATTCTTAAAATATAAGCAACAGCACACTTTAAAAACCAAAACCATGCATAAGGCAGTTAGTACAAACTTTCCATCATTTCTTCTCAGAAAACTAAAGTTAGTTAAGAAATAACATGCAAAAGAAATAAAAAAGACAGATAAAATACATAATCTCTAAAGCCCACTTCTAGTTTGGAATAAAACAATCTTGTTTTATTTCAGAGTAACCCTCTCTCAAAGAGAAAGCTGTACAGAACTTGGATTGAGCTAAAAATCTGACCTAAAAGATACTCTGCTCTAAACCAGCTCTTTGCTGTTAATCCATATGGGATCAACTCATTTACCATCAGTCCAGAACAGAATTTTAATATTTCAGCCCAGAGTCAGCTGAAAACCATATGGAGCACAGTTAGACATCTGAGCACAGAGGAGAGCTCTAAGAACATAGTTTAAATGGCAGTATTGGTGTAATACCAATGTAGGGATCTAGAAATTCATGTTATGAGAGTTGCACAAAAAGTTAGCAAAGAAGTCTACACATTCTGCAAGCAACATAATTAAAAGAACTAAATGAACCTCTTCAGTTTAATTTTAAGATATATTTGGTTTAAGTACTTATTATTATTATACAGATAATTCTAGAGAAATAAATTTTCTGTATGTACACATGTGTTTTAAAATTAGCTTCAGATTCATACAAATATTTTTCCTGGATTTTTTTTTTAAACTCTCTAACAGTGGTACCTATATAATATTACCTTGTACCACTTACAATTCAGACTGAGCTACTCCATGAATTGGCCAAAGACTGTTTCCATGTCATACTTAGTAGAAACCAGCTGCTGATCTGGTTTTCCAGTTAATCATCAGACCATGCAGTCCATCTGCTCCCTGCAGATCCAACACAAGGAAACAACTAATTTGAAAACAACTGAGTTGGTGGTTGTTAGTGAAAGTACATTTGTCTATGAAAGTAATTCTCTCAAGACACAGTATGTGACTGCCATTTTTAAACTGAGAGGTTGTTCTGGTTTTTTCTTAAGGAAAAAGAAAATGTACTAACTAATCAGTAGACTTTTGAAAGGAATACAGTAGTACTGTGGCATCGTGTAGTTCACATGGGCCATAATAAAATTTCTCTGAGAACTATGTGTAATGCCAAAAATGCAGGCAAATCTACTGTTAGCAAACCTAGAGAGTTGCATTAGAAAGTCAGTATACCTAAAAAGCCTCTTCTGGAAAAACTAATGCAATAGTTCATATTGCATTAGGGAGAACAAGAAGGAGATGTTAATCTCTAGCCAGTTATATGGTACAGAAATACACAGCCCAGAGGTCTGGGGGTTTTCACACATATTTCTGTGTTCTTCCTAGCAATATCAGGGAGAAAAAAAATAAACTTCTATGACTTTACTAAGAGAGAAATATTGGACTGAAAGGTTCACATGAGATATGAGATACAAGCATCAACAAACCCTTCTGGAAGCTGAACACACCATCTGAGCAGAACCAGGCAATCACTACCTCCACCACTGCTGCCCCAGCAGCCACAGATCACAGCCAGCCCATTTCCTTGGGTTAGTTGATTTTTGAAGCAGGAAGACTAAAACCAGGATCCCAATGCAAGCTTCTAAGGGGGAGAGCCACAAGCAAAGGCCTCTGTAGCACCAAGCCCTTCTTTCCCTTCCCAGTCACCTCTGGAGAGCCAGGCTCGGGCAGTCACAGCTTACCTTCTTCAGAAGTTACAAAGTTACAAACAGACCCACTCTTTCGGTGCTTGTAACACACTCCTGGCTTGATCGCTCAGCTGAATTAGGCCATTGTAGTCATCAGGTGCATACTACAGTACAAGTGTGACATGGGACAATCAGCAAGAGAAGGAACAGTCTGGCACAGCAAGCCACACAGACCATCATTTGCAACCACAATTAAGAGCATCAGCTATAACAACTGGCAGGAGACACTGAACTGGACAGAAACAACTTTTATGTAAGATAAAACATACATTAATTGCATTACTGGTTGTAGAAATAAAGTAAATGCTTGTGGGGAATGTTCTAAACTGTGTATTTGAACTGCTCCTCATCAATGAAGGGAAATAGGTCAGACCATGAAGTGCTCCTTTTTCCCTTCTACTCATGAGATGGCAGCACCAGGTAACCAAACTCTTACATTTTCATAAGCACAATCACAAACCCAGTGATGGCTCTCACTGGGACAGATGAGCATCTTCCATTCTGCACACTGAGGTGGGGGATCAGAATAATTGTATGGATCTCACTCAGATCTTTTATGCACTCATGGAAATGAAGTGCAGCTTCTCTAGGGAAGAGTGGAAAACACTTGAGTTGCAGATAATACCTGTACTCCATAGACTACACCAATGTAATGAAAGAAAATCAATGTCCCATCATGAATGCATTCACAAGGTAAAATAGCATTTATGCTAGTGTAGTGTATTTCTACATTAGAAAATGAAATAAACTGCACAGTGTAACTGCATCATGACAGATTTGTAGAAGTAATATATTAAAATAAAAATAATGACTGCACAGAAGAGTCACACTATCAAATTAGAACAAAACCCTCATATGTGAATCAGATCTAAGAATTCTTTGAGATGCTGAATATGAACAGTAATCACTCATACTACTGGTCTGGTACAAATATATATAGTGAGGAAATACATCAATATGAAATATTGTTCTTAGCACATAATCTTTCCAAATCACATATCCTGGGAAGGGACTGAGCACTCTTACACATGCTGCAGAGATTACTTGAGTGGTTCCTGTAATCCAGAAGACAATAGTGTTTAGCATAACCTGAGTTGTAGAATATCTTTTCAGTGGCAAGAAGAGTTTCCTGTCTCTCCCCAGACAGACTAATGCTTTAGATGATTGCCAAATGCACACAATATAGATGCACTTTGCTGCCTTTCCTTTAATATTTCTATCATGCAAAAAGTCTCCTGCCAGCTTAGGGAGAAAAGGAGTATATTTGGGCATACAGAACACATATTCATCCAAAGGGAAGTTGAAAAGAAAAACACCAACCATCTTGTACACACCTTTCACAGAAAACAATAACCAAGAGCCCAGAGAACACAAAAGAAAAGAACCCCCCAAAATTTTACTACTGAATTCTAGCCACATCTAAACCCATGCCATTAAGTAAAAGACAAATATAAGAAGTATTTTCTAGATAGTCTCTGCCAGGGCAACCAGACCGTGCAAATATTAGATTTATGATTCCCAGACCTGCCCTTGAAACAAATCTACAAAATGTAAGTTTACTCTTTGGAAGGAATGTCTCAAGATAGTACATACTTTAGATTATCAGTAGATGTACAGTAGGCAAAGTTCTACAGTTTTACTCTTGTAAGGGACAGTATTTCATAAGTTACACTTGAAATGGAATAAACAATGTAGAAAATATGAAAGTTGTAAAGATATCCTGTACAGAGTTGTCAGAACTTAGGCAAAAACCTAAAGAAAATGAGAATGAAAGAAGAAAAATAAATTCATCAAAAGACCTAGAAATAGAAGTAGCATCTAATCACAAGGATAGGTGAGAGACTGCAGTCAACTAAAACAGAAGCTGTAGAACAGTAAATTCTTCAAATAAAATGAAAACTACCCTAACTTGCCTAAGTAAGCACATGATTGAATATCTTTCTGATTCTGTCTGCATTTCAAAACCCATAAAAACAAAACAAGAACATCCAACCACACAGGACCAGACGAAGTGTAAACTGGTTAATAAAGATGCAATACACTAAATTTCCTCCTTGAATTTTCTTTTTCTTCAACCTATTTTATTTCTTTTTTCTTCTCTTGCTGAGAGAAATATGGGACTGTCT